CGAGTTTTCATGAACGTGAACTTAAAGCAACCTTGCTTCCTAGTACATTAACGTATTCATCGTTTACACAAACAACTAGTTATGTGTATGTACTTTAGCATTGTAAATGTTCTGTCATCAAATGACGAGAACCAATGATGTTAAGTCTTTAAGCAAAATATAACATTAAAGTGTTGGGAGTAAATTGGCAATTGATTTAATTTGGCCCAAATAAGGTATTAAAAGAAGATATTTTATAAGCACCCATAAAAACATCAATTTCAAAAACTACTCAAAAATCTAAGGGTAGGGTGGGTGGAGTCAGAGAGTTCAGGTTGCGACCGTGGGACTCAGCTGTGTGATGCACGTGCAGGCTGGTGGGGCCCGAGTTCAACATGAGCTTGTTAACGCTCCGGTGACATGAACCCTTTACAGTTAGCACAGATTAGCTCAAAAGGGTTGAGCTCACAATGTCTGACTAGCAGGCGTAATACAGCGTGACCGTGTTGTGTCGTCTTGTACTTGACTGGCTTCTTATTCAAGCGAATGTTCTCCCCGAGTTGAACTTTTGTTTCAGATGGTCTGAAGTCGCCATTGGAAGATGTCAGATATTTTGTATGGTCGCCTTCAGACCAATCACGTTTGGCGTGACAGTCTGGTTCCTGAACGTTATGATAACTGGCGTTATCCATGATAATGACACTTGAGTTGTTTAGTGTGGGTAGTAGCTGATGTTCCAACCAGTCTTTGAACATAACACATTCATTTTCTTATGAGAATCATCAGTTTAATTTTTTGCCTCGAAAACTGGCTCACATCCACCAATAAGTCCAAGATCACGGTTCCGGCGTGCAAAACAATGAAACGATTACCTTTACCTGATGGTACCATGGGCGCTTTTTGTCCATCTGACACATGCAATCAGTGGAATTATTCTTATTCACCCAGGTTTCTTCAAGGTAAATGACCTGGAAGCCCTTACTGCGAAAGTCATGAATGTTTCAGAGATAATGTGACCTCAAAAACAGAATTGAATATTTTCCCCTGTTACCTGCTGAGTCATCGCCATGTGCAGCGTATCGAAATCCCATCTCGTGGAGAGCAATAATTAATGTAGTCTGGGAAACATGAATTGTGTCTTTAATTTCCTTCCGAATTCTACTACAAGTCGGGGGTTAAATCTGCTCATGAAGCTTGTACACTGCATGCCTAATTACCCTTGCATCAAATCTGTCTAATATCCTTTTACGTCCCATTGTTTTTTTCGACAATCCCATGCTTCTTTGTCTTGTTTATCATTCTGTTGATTTGTTGGTGTGAAACCCCCAGAGCTTGGTCGGTTGCCATCTAAACTCTCTCTCAAGTGAAGAGAACTTGTAAACATTTCCCAATTACAGACTCAATGTCGTGTACCATAGCTTTCGCTATGCACCTGTATGCACCTGGGTCAAACTCACCCAGAACTTTTCGGAGAATGTGAAGACTCCCCAACACTGCAACCTTCTGCATTACCCAGATTGGCAGAAGAAATGTATTCCTGGTAGCAAACCCGGGTACTCTCCAATGTCAGTCAACAGAACCTAAGGCACCGAGAACAATGGGGAGTCGGTACATGGGATGCAAGCGTGACATTTCGAAAGCGAGGTCCGCATAGTTGCCATGTTTTTCCTGAATCTTGTCACTCACATTAGGGTCAAAAGGGACACAAACTTCAATGATATAAATGATTTCATTGGATTTATTAAAAAGGATTCCTGGTAAACGCTGGTTAACATTAGTAAAATATATATAGATATATATTCACAGTGCTGCCCAATACAAAATAAAAAAGCAGCTAGGCTATTATAACTATGGCCAAAGGCACGGAATCATGTGCAGGTCAGTGGCTCCTAGTTAACACTAGAATATGGCCGGTTGGCCACTTAAGCTTAACATTGTGGATGAGGTGCGGGATACTTCAGGCTGCCCAGAGAGGTGTCGTATTCGATACGTGGCAGCTGGTCAGTGATTTGACTGGATAAAATTAGAATACTTTCTGTTCGTCAGGAGTTGACCCTCAGACAGCGGCTAGGCAGGTTGGCGCTATGACGCCTCTGAGATGATGTCTGGCCATGTCTGTCTCGTTATCATAATCATGATTGTTTAGATGCTGTATGATTTATTATATTATAAATAAAGAGTTGTGGACCCACAAATGGACTCCTGTGTTTGAAGAAGAACAGATATCCCAAACTTCACAGCCTGGGATACATCCTCTGCTTTTGTTCCTGTGGTGGTGCAGCAGCCAACATGGAGTCTGTCGGAGGCTCCTGCCCTAGGATGACAACAGACTGCAAGGGCTGCTGCATGACCTGTGACTTCGGAACAGCCGTTGGGGGGATGCGCATCTGGGTGTTGAACTTGAATCCCTGTCTGTTTGGGGCATTGGGCATCGCTGCTGCAGCAGCTGCTGGTTGGTTGCCCATGCTCGAGCCCATCGCAGCCATGCGAGCATTGGGGTTGGTTGGCACTGCTCCAGACTGTCCAGTGATTGGACAGGCATTTACACCTGCACGGACGGTTGGCTGGTCAGCTCGTGGGGCAGTAGTGCGCATCTGAACACTGGTGGGCATGAATTGGAAACCTGCAGTCGGCTCTGTTGGTAGGAATTGGTTCTGCAATCCACGCTGGGCTTGGGGCATGGTGGGCACAAAGTTACCTGATCCAGTTTGCTAGAACATCTGGTTAAACTGTGCCGTTTGCTGTTGTCTTAAGGTGGTCCTTCTCTTCATCTTCTGTGAGGCAAGGTGAGCACGCCGGGCTTCCTTACGCTTGGCCAGTGCCACATACAGAGGTTTTGACACAATGATACGCCCATTCATCTCGATCAGGGCATTGGTTGCCTCCTCGGGAGAGCTGAAGCACACAAAACCGAAGCCCTTGGATCGACCACCTTCACTCATGACTCGAGCACTGGTGATGGTTCCAAATTGCGAGAACTCGTTTCTTAGCCTCTCGTCGTCGACCTCCTGATCCAGATTTTTTACATACAGATTCACACCCTGGTATGGGTTGATGCTCTCCATTTTCATCTTCTCGAACTTGTCCTTCAATTCAGCTTGCCCTTCTGCTTTCATGAACTTTCTCTTGGCCCTAACCTTTGTCTCTCCAGACAGGTCAATTACGTCATGGTGACGGAAAAGTGGGATTCGTTTGTGCACCCGTATACACGGCTCACAGAGTGCGTCGTCACAGTCAGAACACCAAGATGTAGCTGGAGTTGTCTCCCCTTCCTCTTTGCAATAACTGCAGTCGGACGTATCTGAAATAACAAGATAACTTTGATCCAGAGTATCAACACGGGGCTATGAAATGTTGTGGCATAACTACCTATTGATGCAGTACCTACACTGTCATAAAACGCACATGTACATGTGGAACCCAGAAGTAAAACAAATTGTAATGTGCATGTGGTCCCTTCAGAATCAGGAATGGGAATATGACACATTTCAGTCTAAATATTTATGTAACACAAAAGTAGGTAACAAACATAGTATGTAAACAAAACTAGTATTGGGGATATTAAGTTGACACAATCAAAGTGGTATACATGATACATCGACACTGGAAAACTATTTATCTTTTCAAAATAATATCTACATTGTTATTATTTCATAATGAAGGCAATCAGTGTAGACATGCAGATATTGTTAAAATTGAAACCCACAACGTTAACGTTGTGAGTATGTTTGGTTTTTTTAACCATGAACGGTACTTCTCTGTCAGAGTTACCTCCCTAATGCTGATATGTTTACACCTGTAGCCTGTAATGTACAAAAGTGCTAATACCTCGCTATACGGAAATTGTGTCAACGTTTCCTGCTGTAGGCCTGTCCTCGATCCTCTCGACAGCCACACCCGCTTCACGGAAATGGGTCAACGTTTTACCGTAGCGAAATACTGTATTGGGGAAATAGTTCGAATACAGCCAGACAAGTACCTTGCCCTTCGCCTCCTGACAGCTGCAGGCAAAGAGCGCAAGCGCTCTGGAGCAGGTAAACCAGTCTAGGACAGAGCGTGATCTCCTCTTATGATTGTGTCCGAATGACATAAAAATATTTAGTGTAATAATTTACAGCTAGCTTTAAAAAATAGTTATGTATGTACTTTGTATGTAAGCATATCATCACACATTTGTGAGATAAAAAAAGTTTCTTTAAGAAGTTTGTTTACATCTTTCCAACTACTCATCCCATGTAACTTTCTCAAACCAAAACCAAAAGAACCACGGCGCCATGCAATTATGTTCCATATAGAACTTCATGTGGCGCATCATGAACTCATGAACATCATGAGAAAATATGCATCACAAACATTTCAATAAGTGCTAACGTGAAATATGATGTGAATAGCACTGGATTTGTTGCACTGGTTAATTTCGTCACATAGATCATGGAAAAGACAGCGTTTGTGTCTGAGATAGACCTTAGATCATATCGGTGTTACTCATTAAGCACATGTACACAATAGGATTTCATTTTGTACACAAACCCTCCAAACAACATCATAAACAGGTTTACAAAATCCACAGAAACTATAAAACTTTCTTCTTTACTTTACACACATTCTTATCCTCAGCGTAATATATAGACGTCGACCGGATGTCATGTCACCTGTATCATCAGGTTTGGAGGATCGCTACCACTTGTTAACACTGTACGTGTACACGATATGATTTCATATTCAACACAAACCTTACAAACAACCTATAGATGACTTTCGATATAGCACAGAAACCTTAAACATAACGTATTTCTATATTCAAATCAAATGCTGTGGTACCTTTCGGGGCAGAGCTGTAGCCTAGTGGTTAAAGCGTTCGATCGTCAGGCCGATTCCAAGCATGGGCACAATGTGTGAAACCAAATTTCTGGTGTCCCCCGCCGTGATATTGCTGGAATATTGGTGAAAAGGCCGTATACCATACTTGCTCACTCAGTCGTGGAACCACACTTATATACGTACAAACCACAAACGCTCACCTTTAGATCCGGGACCAAACGAGTCCAAGAGTCCCTGGATGACAAAGATGGGCTTGACGTCATCCGCCCAATCCTCCACTGGTCTCTCAGGGGCAGACACTTTCGTCATCTTGCTGCAGAATGGACACAGGAGAGACTTGGCACTGATGGCTTCTGGTCTGGCTTTGGTGAAGCTGACCATACATTTCCGACAGAAGGTGTGATTACATACAAGTGTACAGGGCTTGTCAAACACCTCTGTACATATCGTGCATGTCAGGAAGTGCTCTGTTAGCTTCTGGGAGGTCGTCATCTTACCTATTAAATACAAACAAACCATTGTAATTTCGGTGTACACAACATACTGATCTTAGCCACAATCCGAGCTTACTGTTCTTAAACACGTGACACTAGGACCGACTGTAGTTGTGGCACTTATTTGTTGTCCCGTTCAAAACTAAGGTCGTGTATTTGTATCATTCCATTCACCGCCTGGATCATCCGGATCTGGAAAAAATAAACAAATATCCCGTTTCATAAAAAAACCATTATTTCAGATGTATGCAGATCTTATGAATTAAGAACTAACATTCTGCCTTACACTTAGGCTGACTGCATGTGTATGTGCGCGCGCCTGCGTGCTTGCGTCCGCGCGTATATGAGTGTGTGTGTGTGTGTTTCTCAACTCGCGGCGGTCCTGCAGGAACAATAAATAGTTACCAATTGACCCGTCTGTGTAAACCCGGGATCAGTTAGAAGATTGTGAATGGTGCTTTACAACTCGAGGCCACCTGCTGGCTTTACAACATGAACTGTGTGCAGTGTACCGATCACCGACATAGTTGTCGGGTGCTGCCCAATACAAATTAAAAAAGCAGCTAGGCTATTATAACTATGGCCCAAAGCACGGAATCATGTGCAGCTCAGTGGTCCTAGTTAACACTAGAATATGGCCGGTTGGCCACTGAAGCTTAACATTGTGGATGAGGTGCGGGATACTGCAGGCTGACCAGAGAGGTGTCGTATTCGATACGTGGCAGCTGGTCAGTGATTTGACTGGATAAAATTAGAATACTTTCTGTTCGTCAGGAGTTGACTCGGACAGCAGCTAGGCAGGTTGGCTCTCTGACGCCTCTGAGATACTGCCTGGCCATGTCTGTCTCGCTATCATAATCATGATTTTTACCGCCTCCGTGGTCTAGTGCGAGCATTGGGGTTGGTTGGCACTGCACCAAAGTGTCCAGTGGTTGGACAGGCTTTTACACCTGCACGGACAGGTGGCTGGCCAGCTCGAGGGGCAGTAGTGCGCATCTGAACACTGGTGGGCATGCCTTGGAAACCTGCAGTCGGCTCTGTTGGTAGGACTTGGTTCTGCAATCTACGCTGGGCTTGGGGCATGATGGGCACAAAGTAACCTTCTCCAGTTGGCTGGAACATCTGGTTAAACTGTGCCGTTTGCTGTTGACTCAAGGTGGTCCTTCTCTTCATCCTCTGTGTGGCAAGGTGAGCACGTCGGTGTTCCTTACGCTGGGCCAGTGCCACATACAGAGGTTTTGACACAATGATACGCCCATTCATCTTGGTCAGAGCTTTGGTTGCCTCCTCGGGAGAGCTGAAGCACACAAAACCGAAGCCCTTGGATCGACGACCTTCTCTCATGACTCGAGCACTGGTGATGGTTCCAAATTGCGAAACTCGTTCCAGAGTCTATAGTCGCCGACCTCATGATCCAGATTTTTTACATACAGATTCACACCCTGGTATGGGTTGGTCCTCTCCATTTTCATCTTCTCGAACGTGTCCTTCAATTCAGCTTGCACTTCTGCTTTCATGACCTTACTCTTGGCCCTAACCTTTGTCTCTCCAGACAGGTTAATTACGTCATGGTAACGGAAGGGTTGGATTCGTTTGTACACCTGCATACACGGCTCACAGAGTGCGTCGTCACAGCCAAAACACCATGATGTAGCTGGAGTTGTCGCCCCTCCCTTCTTGCAATAACTGCAGTCGGTCGTGTCTGAAATAACAAGATAACTTTGATCCAGAGTATCAACACGGGGCAATGAAATGTTGTAGCATATGTACCTATTGATGCAGTACCTACACTGTCATAAAGCGCACATGTGTAACCCAGAAGTAAAGCAAATTGTAATGTACATGTGGTCCCTTCAGAATCAGGAATGGGAATAAGACACATTTCAGTTTAATATTTATGTAACACAAAAGTAGGTAACAAACATAGTATGTAAACAAAACTAGTATTGGGGATATTAAGTTGACACAATCATAGTGGTATACATGATACATTGACACTGGAAAACTATTTATCTTTTCAAAATAATATCTACATTGTTATTATTTCATAATGAAGGCAATCAGTGTAGACATGCAGATATTGTTAAAATTGAAACTCACAACGTTGTGAGTATGTTTGGTTTTTTTAACCATGAACCGTACTTCTCTGTCAGAGTTACCTCCCTAATGCTGATATGTTTACACCTGTAGCCTGTAATGTACAAAAGTGCTAATACCTCGCTATACGGAAATTGTGTCAACGTTTCCTGCTGTAGGCCTGTCCTCGATCCTCTCGACAGCCACACCCGCTTCACGGAAATGGGTCAACGTTTCGCCGTAGCGAAATACTGTATTGGGGAAATAGTTCGAATACAGCCAGACTAGTACCTTGCCCTTCGCCTCCTGGCGGCTGCAGGCGAAGAGCGCAAGCGATCTGGAGCAGGTAAACCACTCTAGGACAGAGCGTGATCTCCTCTTATGATTGTGTCCGAATGACATAAAAATGTTTGGTGTAATAATTTACAGCTAGGAATGTTTTAAAAAATAGTTATGTATGTACTTTGTATGTAAGCATATCATAATACATTTGTGAGATAAAGAAAAAGTTTCTTTTAGAAGTTTGTTTACATCTTTCCAACTACTCATCCCATGTAACTTTCTCAAACCAAAACCAAAAGAACCACGGCGCCATGCAATTATGTTCCATATAGAACTTCATGTGGCGCATCATGAACTCATGAACATCATGAGAAAATATGCATCACAAACATTTCAATAAGTGCTAACGTGAAATATGATGTAAATAGCACTGGATTTGTTGCACTGGTTAATTTCGTCACATAGATCATGGAAAAGACAGCGTTTGTGTCTGAGATAGACCTTAGATCATATCGGTGTTACTCATGAAGCACATGTACACAATAGGATTTCATTTTGTACACAAACCCTTCAAACAACATCATCAACAGGTTTACACAATCCACAGAAACTATAAAACTTTCTTCTTTACTTTACACACGTTCTTATCCTCAGCGTAATAGACGTCGACCGGATGTCATGTCACCTGTATCATCAGGTTTGGAGGATCGCTACCACTTGTTAACACTGTACGTGTACACGATATGATTTCATATTCAACACAAACCTTACAAACAACCTATAGATGACTTTCGATATAGCACAGAAACCTTAAACATAACGTGTTTCTATATTCATATCAAATGTTATGGTACCTCTCGGGGCAGAGCTGTAGCCTAGTGGTTAAAGCGTTCGATCGTCACGCCGATTCCAAGCATGGGCACAATGTGTGAAACCAAATTTCTGGTGTCCCCCGCCGTGATATTGCTGGAATATTGGTGAAAAGGCCGTATACCATACTTGCTCACTCAGTTGTGGAACCACACTTATATACGTACAAACCACAAACTCTCACCTTTAGATCCGGGACCAAACGAGTCCAAGATGGCTGATGGCTTCTGGTCTGGTTTTGGCGTAGTTGACGACACATTTCCGACAGAAGGTGTGATTACATACAAGTGTACAGGCCTTGTCAAACACCTCTGTACATATCGTGCATGTCAGGAAGTCTTCTGTTAACTTCTTGGAGGTCGTCATCTTACCTATTAAATACAAACAAGCCGTCGATTTCCGGTGTACACAACATACTGATCTTAGCCACAATCCGAGCTTACTGTTCTTAAACACGTGACACTAGGACCGACTGTAGTTGTGGCACTTATTTGTTGTCCCGTTCAAAACTAAGGTCGTGTATTAGTATCATTCCATTCACCGCCTGGATCATCCGGATCTTGAAAAAATAAACAAATATCCCGTTTCATAAAAAAACATTATTTCAGATGTATGCAGATCTTATGAATTAAGAACTAACATTCTGCCTTACAATTAGGCTGACTGCATTTGTATGTGTGCGTGCGTGCGTGCGTGCGTGCTTGCGTGCGCGCGTATATGAGTGTGTGTGTGTGTGTGTGTGTTTCTCAACTCGCGGCGGTCCTGCAGGAACAGTATATATTTACCAATTGACCCGTCTGTGTAAACCCGGGATCAGTTAGAAGATTGTGAATGGTGCTTTTCAACTCGAGGCCACCCGCTGGCTTTACAACATGAAGAGTGTGCAGTGTACCGATCACGGACATAGTTGTCGGGTGACATCCACTCATTACCATATCGAAAGTGGGAGACGTTAAAGGGGCACTGATCTAACGCAATTCCCCGGGACTGGTTGTTGCCGTTGTTATTGTTTTTTCCCAGTGAGTACCCGGATGTATAGCAGAAATCTAGACTAGTACGCAACCTCTGTTGCGCCATTCGTAAGCGCATTAGTCACTTTTATGGGTAGTAATAAGGGCGTATGGTGACATTGATAAACAAAATGAAACACAGTTTTCGAGATAATAAGGAAATGTAGGTATTTCTATGGGTAGCATCGGTAATGGTGACGAAGTTTTGATAAGTCACTTGCTTGGTAATTTTGCGATTTTCGTTTACACTATTTTGACTTTCAACACAAAGTAAATATTTCACCTGAGCCTTGCTTTTTTTATAGTGTGTATATTTTTTTACTGTCAAAATATGTAACATTTTCAAATTTATTAAACGCCTTAATATTCAGTTATTTTACAAAGTGACTGAAAAGCATTTCCATCTGTGTCCTTATGATAACGAATTCCAAACATTTTGATGTTTAATGTCATCACCAAGAGACTGAAAATGTTATGTTGAAAAGTGCATTTCTATGTTGTTTGGCTTCTAATCCTACATAAATAATCTGTTGTGATGTTTGTAGGCCCTTTTGATCGTCTTAATCAATCTGGACAGATTTTTTAGTCAAAATTGACTGAAATATTTACACATTTTATAAATTGCCTGAGAGAATCACATTTTACAAATTGACGGTAATATATACACCTATATATTCCTATAAAGGAAAAGACCTGTGAAAACAACGTCTATAGCGCATTGAAGAATTTCCCAACCAATACGTGGAGAAACAAGGAGGAATCGGTTCAATGCTACAGCAAATGAAGGAAAACAAAATGCAAATACCATAATTACAACCTACCAAATTTATGTGTTTAATTTTTGGGCAGCTTCCTTGTTCGAGGAATGTATCCGTGAATATCCACACAAAGAAACAATATCCCACTCGTCTGCAGCTGTACAAAGAAACTTATTCAATGTCACGTATCTCTGTAACAATCAAATATTTTAAAAGATATATATCGTTTCGGGATATTATAACCCGTGTTCGTTCCTCAACTGATCACTTGGATTGTTTCAGGTGTTTCACATAGGTGTCAAGTCTCAAAGGTCGGCTGAGAAAGCCCACGTGACAACTATTTTCATAACGTCCACGGTTCCTAAAAATTCCATTGAGTGATAGATAACAATGATCAATCAATCAACGTATTATCAGTTAACCCTTTGAACAAAGTATGTTGTTTTTACATCGGCACTTCACGCCATGATATGAGTGTATTCCCTTTGTTTTAGTAAACCTTGAGATGTAAACACTCACTTTTGACATATCCACTGTGCAAGATAACAGTGATTAATCAATCAACGTTTTTTCTGTTAATCCTTTGATGACTAGGAACGATCCGTTGATTTACAACAACAAAAAATCAACTGTTCATTCACCTCTTGCTGGTCTGCCACGTGCATATTACATAACACACATTTCACCTCACTTCAAACCTGGATTTAGATTGAATAATTACCCCGGACACAATACATGCCAAATGGGAACCATTGTCAGGTAATCTAAGTGGTGCTACCACTAATTGTACCTGTAATAAATTCATTAACTGAGCATCAAGTGAATGACGACAAATACACAAGTGTGGGGTTATACCAGAAAACGTGGATGACAACTAGGGAGTAATAATCGTATTATCGACGCAATCCGAAATCCGAAAATGCTTTCACTGCATGGATACTTTTTTCAGTATTAAACTATAACCATCTGGGGTATTTCACAATGACGACATCCGATGAGCTCCGCCGTCCTTTTTGTCTGTTTGTTTAGGCTGAAGAAATTAATTAACATGCGCCCTTTGTCGAAATCTTTATAGATCACGGTTAACCAATAGGTGTTTATGCAAAAATGCGTAAAACAAATATTGCCTCCAGGCTCCAAGTTTATTTAGCTGTCCTTGCAGACGGTGGCTCAGTCTCTGGTCACGCTCAGTTGCGTTGCGTATCATCCGGGTACTCACAGGGAAAAAAAACAATAACAAAGGCAACAACCAGTCCGGGGAATTGCGTTAGATCAGTGCCCCTTTAAGGTCGGACTCTATCAGATGTGAAATAATATGGTTATGTAGAAGTATTTTCTGATATTGTTTACTGCAGCATTTGTCTTGAATCATGTCACTAATAACTGTAACAGACACACGTGATATATACATACACATACATCGGGATCAGTCTCAGTATTGAAATCAAGTAGTTTAAAATGGATCTTTGAAGTATTCCGGTTAGCCTACATGTTATATTCAATTAGGTGCCCCGTCATGAGAATCTGCCTGGAGATGACTGTATAGTTAGATGAACCCTTGTGGTGTTACCAGTACACAGTAGGACAGGTGTGTAGCGTTATAACTGAAGCAGACACATGCCTTGTGACAACACACACTTACCTGGTGTTGAGGGAAATTGATCAGCAGGAAGTGAATCGTTCGTGACCAACTCGTGTCATTCCGGGACAAGCTTCTCGCAGTTTACGGAAAGAGTCGAGTGGTGACGAATGCACGTGTGTAACCAGAAGTGGATTTCGACAACAAGTAGGAGGTTCTGAAAGCAGGCCCACGCTGTAGCACCGCAGTGAATCAGAGCGACCTGTTATCCCACACGCAAGCAGCATATTTTATACAGTGTAGTAAATCATTCGTGTTAAATAAGCACAGCAGAAGTACATAAAATTCGAATTAAATATAAACTATTATATTTGTTATTTATTTTATATTGCATGTTTAATTGATGCAACAAGTACAATACTGTTGCACCACTGAGAACCGTGGGCTACATGATAGACAGCACAACATTATCAGTCGGAGACAAATGTCATGTACATGGAGTTGGTTAAAGTTACAAAGAGATAAGCAGTTTTTTCTGTTATATGAAACCAGGAAGTGATATGTGATGTTATTGCAAGAAATGTTTTTTATGCAATTTTGTATGTCCTGTGTTGTAAGTACAAAATTATTACGCTGAACAGCAAGTTTATTACATTTAAATGGCCACATGTCTTTCCACTTGCACCTTAGAACAGTTGACTGATTGCCTTCCACGTGTTGGCTGCCATTCAATAGCACGATAGACCCATGTTGTATAAGCAGGGATGTTTCTCCATCTATGAAATCAACATTCCTCATCAATGTAGGATTTTGACATATTGATACGTATCGATTTCCATATTAAAACAATATGTTAACCCAGAAATTTGTTTGTAAAAGAATTTAGGGTGAAACAAACAAACACCCAACAAATGGTATACAATCAAAAATACAACTAATAAAGTTACTGCACAGCGATGACATTGTAAGTATGCAATAGAGTGTAGTACAAAATTCAATGGCAGTATTAAATATGATGGCAGTGGTGACATAAAAAAAATCACTAAAAACTAATGCATAAAGAAAATATCATCTTTAGAGGAAAATGGTCTTACCTCAATAAGTCAGTCAGAATGTCAGCGCGTCGTAATACATTTACATTAAGTACAAAATGATAAATGTGACGGGTATGACAGTAGAGATATCGAGTTGTCAATGAACCTGTGGCGGTTACATATTGGTCATCAATTATCACTTATCAATCATTGAAAAATGTTATAAAGATACTAAGGTAAATCCATAGATTCCCGTAGGCTGTCGCTGTCAGTCAAGACACGGATCGAGTCGATACTACGATAGTTTGGATGGTTTGGTTCGTGAACGATTATGCAGTCAAACACTCTGACGTTTCTCAATGTGTGCTAAGTGTTTGAGTTCAAGAAAAATGGCACTAAATAACCAGAAACAACGCTTTTTCGTGTATGCGTGTAAGGGAATTCCCAGGGGTTCCCCAGGAAAGTGTAAGTAGTCCGTCGGTGTATATGTCATTTCAAGAATACGGTCCCCTAAACACGTAAGAACATCAAGTTGTGTCGTTATGAACGTCATGTGAGCGGCCTCTTGTCCAAAGGAAAAGACGGATATCGTGTACACTTGAATTTTTTCCATGCAATGTCAACAGAAACAATGTAATACAGTTACAATCAATGTTTAACTGAAAATCAGTGATGACACGAGAACACGTGTTCTTCTTGAATGTGACGTCACTACAAGGGGCTACCACGTCACGTCAGGTCAGCAGCAACAATCAGGTATTGAGTGTTCCAAACACTGATGTCCACACACTGCTGCTTACGATGTGGGTTGGTGTGGGTTGCTAATACATTAGTGTAGGTTGCTAATGCATAATTGTGGTTTGTTAATGTATTAGTGTGGGTTGCTAATGCATTAGTGTTGGTTGCTGATTAATTAGTGTGGGTAGCTAATGCATCAGTGTGGGATGCTAATGCATTAGCGTTGGTTGTTAATGTATTAGTGTGGGTTGAGAATGTATTAGTGTGGGTTGATAATGTATTAGTGTGGGCTGCTAATGCATTAGTGTTGGTTGCTAATGTATTAGTGTATGTGCCTGATGCTTTAGTGTGGGTTCCTAACGCATGAGTGTTGGTTGTTAATGTATTAGTGTGTGTGTCTGATGCTTTAGTGTGGGTTCCTAATGCATAAGTGTTGGTTGTTAAAGTAATAGTGTGGTTGCATGATGCTTTAGTGTGGGTTCCTAATACATGGGGGTTTAATGCTAATGTATTAGTGTGTGTATCTGATGCTTTAGTGTGGGTTCCTAACGCATGAGTGTTGTCTGCTAATGTATTAGTGTAACCAAAGGTAAGCTAATTTATATAACCAAAGGTGAGCTACGTGATGTAACCAAAGGTAAGCTACTTGATTTTACCAAAGTTGAGATACTTGATGTAATGGTTCAAGAGACCAACGTGAAAACAAGGGACGTGGTGTCAGACATTTGCATCAAGTGGACCCATAATCTTCAGAAATGTTTGGGAGTTAGATTTCTCCACAGGCCAATTACCAGTCCCCCGACAATAGGTGGTGCTGCTCTGCTCCTCCCCCTTATATCCTGTAACAGTACAATGATGACCCCTGGGGAAGACTCAGGTGCGTCATTTGACCAGTCCCCGGACAATAGGTGGTACTGCTCTGCTCCTCCCCCTTATATCCTGTAACAGTACAATGATGACCTCTGGGGAAGACTCAGATACGTCATTTGACCAGTCCCCGGACAATAGGTGGTACTGCTCTGCTCTGTCTGTGGCATAAAAATAACAAACAACTAGTATACGTGTCAAACTTAAAAATGGCTTAAGTTTATCATTTACCTTCATCATTTTATCTTTTCAAGGGTACACATTTTGTAGAAGTTTTATCAGCTCAAAGTAATGATTGTGTCCATGAATCACAGTGATAAGGGATAAGAAAACAGCTGCAATATTTGTGAAGCCTCGGATGTTTCAGGAAAAGATATAACAAATATTGTTGTCATACCAGAGAAGGTATGATAGACTTTGATTGATGTATCATACCTTATCTGCACTTATCCCAGGTCTGATTTATCCCAGGTATTAACATAGCCCACTCCAGCAAGTCCACCTTAGGAATCCTGAGTATTTGATGACATTTTATAGGCCATGTGTATATCTCATAAACGCTGATCTGACATCAACGGGCATACTAGCACTGTACCTACAATATGTGACGTAGTATTAACGTGTGTGTTCAGACTCAAATTTCCGACATGACTGATATTAGAACGATGCACATTTTGATTAATGATGAACTATATCTAACCCCGTATCTCTAAAACGGATCATTACTTGATCAGCGAAAGTTTTCTTCAAAACACCTAGGTGGGTTGAGAGATGCCTGTCTGTATGGACTCCAAATATGCGCAGACAGACATGTCCATCAGAAATTCGCACAACGTGAATAGATTCGGTGTACAAATTCGTGAATATTAAAAAGTCCGTCATTTTTATGAAGCACCCTTGTTGTTTTTTGAATGGCACATGGTAGATTAACTTGTGTGCAGTAACTTTTATTCCATCATATCCTGTTGAGCAGTCCATATTCAGACATAGTAATATGCGTTGTGTTAGTCTGTTTTAGAGTGAGTGACCGATATAGTAAGGGATAACGACAAGGGGAAAAAAGGATTCTGGTGCTACTGTTACGCAGGCTTTGACAAATTTTCTTTATTTACACTAAAAACTAGGTACAATTTTATGTCTGCAGGGAAGTGAAAGGTACACATACAAAGGAGAGAACATCGTGACCATGTAGATGCATGTACCTGGGTACAAAACAACGGCTCACAGGTCGAGAACAGCCCCCTCAGCTCTAGAATAGTTCACTTGCTTCTATTGATTGTATAGTATGTTCAGTTTGCCCATGTCGGCAAAACTAACATAGTGAAACTGATGTCAGATGTAATTCCCTGTTTGGACTTAAACCACATGTTTCAGTGTATATTCAGGTGAACAACTGACTTGCTGGTAATGGGAGCCGCCGGTGGGACAGGATACGCTCACCTTTTAGCAAACACCTGGTATCATCATAATTTGATGGGGTTCAATAAAGACTTGCTCATGATATAGTCGGAATCATACAGTCGACACTGATTAACGCAGAGATTTCCTATGAATATGGAAAAGGCCTTTGTGCGTCTTTAGCGCACTGGCAGTGAACAACAAGCAGCCAATGAAGGTCTCCACGTGGGGATTCCGAGTTAGAATAGGTCCTCAGCAACCTGTGCGTGTCGTACGTGGCGACCAAATGGTCAGACTCCGCTACTTGGTTGATACAGTGTCATCGTGACCCAACGACTTGGGATGTTGCTTGTGATGTCAGTCACTGGTTTCTCGCAATCATACACGATTATTTACCGTCATACATGCAGCTTGAATATCGCAGTCGATTCATTTATTTGCAACACACATAAACAGCACTCTATGTGATAAAATGTGCCTGGCTTCACGTGTATTTTCGTTCACTGTATTTTATTGCGCTTCACAAAACATCCAATCACGATTTATCTCCCTTCGACCGCTCAGAAGCCAAGTGAATGTGACAAGTCCTCACCACAGAAACGAGAGAGCTGTCGGTTCTGTGCTTCATAACGCGAAACAGTTCAGTAAGTTACCAAAACAATCAGTACATTTAATGTATATATGTACAATAGTAGTTCCAGGGAATTCTGTGGAACACTGAGGCTGATATTATACTTAAATTCGTCCCTTGATTTGTACCCATGTCAAACAAGGTGACTAAATTGGTGATCGGTTGGTCACAATGGCTGCTTAATACGGGCTTTTCACGTTGACAGGTTAGGCGGTGTGCAGCCACGATCAGCCTGTCGAACTCAGCAACTGTCGCCCGGATCATTGTGGTCGTAAGAATGCCTATAAGTCTGGCTGTCATGTAAATATTACACAGATATATCAGATATCACGAATAGATCCATAATACACTGGCATGATGATAATTCACAATAATTCATTTTGGGGTATCATTAAATGAATTATTGATGTAAAATCAGGAATAAATAGTAAATCGGCGCTTGATATATAAATCTGTCACAAAACAGTCCTGAACAGAAGGAATAGCTCCATGTTACACTCGCTTGCGGTGCAAACATGAAAAACACATCATGCGGAGGATCTGGTATTCGATGTAATGACATTTTATCAAATCCACCTACAGTCGAAGTTTGTAAAACATAAAATGGAAAACATGTTCAGATTAGATCTGAAGACTAAAAGCAGTACGTGAGTAACCGTGTCTTGCTATTTAGATTACAAATATAATATGTACATTTACAGACCATGTATGATTAAATCTTAATTCATCACATTCAAATAGCAAAGCTCAGATGAGTGATTAAACACTAATATATAATGTGATTTTACTAAAACACAGTGAAATGTGCTTAAAGGTTAAGACACAATGACACATATCAAATCTAAATCCTCAACTCACACGTGAATACAGTTGATTGAAAGGAGGATTGTGACATGTTCACTCACTTATATGTAAATACCTTCACTTCATCTGACATACACACGTACATACGACCACGCCCACCAACACACACTCCACGTGGATACTTGACACCATCCTGTGATGTCAGCATGTGTCTAACAAACTGTCCTGACTCAGTCAGATGGATGACTCTTTGTAGATGGCTGTCTGTCACCAGGATCTCGCCTGTGCTGGTACTTGTGATACCGTATGGATACTTCAGGGCTGTGTCTCCTGTAGGGCTGTAGGTGAACACCACATCTCCCTCGGGAGTCAGACACGCGACACACTCGGATCCCCGGTCACACACCAGGATGTTTCCTGTCCTCGTGGTACAGAGGAAGGAGGGTTTCTTCAAGATGTATCTACTAGGTTGGCCTTGACAAATTGACCTCAGCACGTGTCCCGTCATACCCAGGATATCAACACAGGGATGGGAGTAGGAACCTGCTGCTAGTGTTGATGGTGTCAGAGACGTTATACCCCAGTACTGTTTGCAGGTTGTGATGGCTGACAGCAGCACCAGGTCAGGGTTGACTTGCACAGTTACAATCTGAGTGGCTGACGGCACAGTGACAGCCACCTGGTTGTCCGTCAACTTTGTTATACCCCACGGACGACCACCCACACTGAGTCTGCTGTGACCTTGCTGCTTGTTCCTGGAATAGAAGGACTTCACACTGTTGTTGTTGTAGTCTGTGACTACCACTGTGTCTTTACCATTCACCACAAACACCGTCACGTCAATGGGGCTGGTCCAATATGTATCTCCTGCTACTCTGACGTTAATGGTGTCCTGTAACACAGGAGTAGCCTTCAGGTCCAGCACGTTAATGGTGTCCTGTAACACAGGAATAGCCTTCAGGTCCAGCACATCCTCATACAGGACGTCTATCTCACCCAGCTGTAGATCGTCCAGTGCTCTACTCAGCTTGTCCTTGTCCTGTCTGAACATGATCCTGGCTATTCTTCCCTTCTCTTTCACGTCTGCGACTCCGACAGCCTCCACATCACCGGCCTCACATCCCTGGTACATCTCATACACACCCATGTCACACTCAGATTGTAGAGTCTGGTCTATCAGCTCAGCCTGTTGTTGGTACATCTGTACTGACATCTCAACTGACTTTATGTCTGCCTTCAGTTCTCCAATGTGTCTGTCAGACATCGCTTTCAGTTCAGCCAGAAGGTTCTGTTCCTTGACTTTGATCATCTCTATTGCTTTGAGGCTTGCAGACTTGATATTCGATTCTATTTGTAAGTAAAGTGTTAATTCTTCATTGACTTTTGAGGTTTGTTTTTTAACATGTGTTTTCATCTCGTCTTGTTTCTTCAACAAATCCTCTTTATTCCTTCTCAGCTCGGTTTTCATTGCAGGAATCTCCGACTCAATTTCAACAACCAAGTCACATTTCCTGTGATGGATTGTGCAGCATTTTTGACAAACAGCTGTTTTACAATCTTTACAAATGTATTTGATGTTTTCATCTTTGTGAATTTTACACATGACCTTTCTCTTGACCCTAACCTTTGTCTCTCCAGACATATCAACTACGTCATGGTGACGGAAAGATGGAATTCGTCTGTGTACTTGTATACATCGTTCACAGAGTGCGTCGTCACAAACAGAGCACCAAGATGTAGCCGGAGTTGTCTCCCCTTCCTCCTTGCAATAACTGCAGTGAGTCGTATCTGAAATAGGAATGTAATCATGTAGAGATAGTCACAGTTCTATATCACTATCTATTACAGAACTTCATGTGGCATATCACTCACACGTGTGAGACAACATGCATCAATAACATCCCAATACGACGTAATGTGAAAAAGTATGTAAATAACATTGGATTTGTCTCACTGATAGAAATCCCCATATAGATTTCAGAAGAAAATAGCGATTGTGTCTGAGATAGACCTTAGACTATCTCCCTTTCGAATCATGTTCGGATAATCGTTGTTACTTGTTAAAACAGTGTACACGATACGATTTCATAGTCTACATACAGTCTACAAACAACTTAATAAATGACTTTCGATACATTTTGAAACCATACAAAATATCTTCTCACTCAACACACATTCCTATAATCCAATCAGGTGTGGAGTTACCTGCTTCGAAATAACATTTATATTCATACAAACCACAAACTCTCACCTTTAGATCCGGGGCCAAACGAGTCCAAGAGTCCCTGGATGACAAAGATAGGCTTGACGTCATCCGCCCACTCCTCCACTGGTCTCTCAGGGGAAGACACTTTCGTCATCTTGCTGCAGAATGGACACAGGAGAGACTTGGCACTGACGGCTTCTGGTCTGGTTTTGGTGTAGTTGACGACACATTTCCGACAGAAGGTGTGATTACATACAAGTGTACAGGGCTTGTCAAACACCTCTGTACATATCGTGCATGTCAGGAAGTGTTCTGTTAACTTTTGGGAGGTCGCCATCTTACCTACAAAAAGACAAACCAGACGCTGAACAAAACAACATGATCTTAGCCACAATCCGAGCTTACAGTTCTTGAACTCGTGACACTAAGACCGACTGTAGTTAAGAAAGAATATTTGTATCCTACCGTTCATCGCCTGGATCATCCAGATCTTGAAACAATTAAAATATCCCGTGTCATATAAAACATTTTTCAGATGTATGCAGATCTTATGAATTAAGAACTAATATTCTGCCTTACACGTGCGTGCGTGCGTGCTTGCGTGCTTGCGTGCTCGTGTATATGCGTGTGTGATTTTCTCAACTCTCGGCGGTCGTACAGGAAGCATAAATAGGTACTTTATAGCTACCCATTCACCCGTTTGTGTGTACCCGGGATCAGTGAGCAGATAGTGAAGGGTGCTTTACAACTCGAGGTCACCCGCTGGCTTCACAACATGAACATTGTGCAGTGTATAAATCACGTGACATAGTTATGGGGTGACACCCACTCATTACCATATCGAAAGTATGAGACATTATTAGGGTTCACATACTACCATATCAGATATGAAATAATACAGTTATGTAGAAGTATTTTCCCGTATGGTTTACTGAAGCATTTGTCAGGGATCATGTCAGTAATAACTGTAATAGACACACGTGATATATACATACACATACATCGGATCAGTCTCAGTATTGAAGTCAAGTATCGAAGGCAATAGTGAAAGTAGATCTTTGATGTATTCCGGTTAGCCTACATGTAACATTTAATTAGGTGCCCGGTCATGAGAATCTGCCTGGAGATGACTGTATAGTTAGATGAACCCTTGTGGTGTTACCAGTACACAGTAGGACAGGTGTGTAGCGTTATGACTGAAGTAGACACAGGCCTTGTGACAACACACACTTACCTGGTGTTGAGGGAAATTGAGCAGCAGGAAGTGATTCATTCGTGACCAACTCGTGTCATTCCGGGACAAGCTTCTCGCAGTTTACGGAAAGAGTCGAGTGGTGACGAATGCACGTGTGTAACCAGAAGTGGATTTCGACAACAGGTAGGACTGTGTTAAGGTGGAGGTTCTGAAAGCAGGCCCACGCTGTAGCACCGCAGTGAATCAGAGCGACCTGTTATCCCACACGCAAGCAGCATAGTTTATACAGTGTAGTAAATCATTCGTGTTAAATAAGCACAGCAGAAGTCCAGAAAGTTCGAATTAAATATAAACTATTTTATTTGTTATTTATTTTATATTGCATGTTTAATTGATGCGACATGTACAATATGGTTGCACCACTCAGCTGGCTGCAAGAACTGTTCTTTGATGCAGTTTTATATGTCATCTGTTGTAAGTACAAAATTATTTCGCTGAACAGCAAGTTTATTACATTAAACTGGCCACATGTCTTTCCACTTGCACCTTCAAACAGTTGACTGATGCCTTCCACCTCTTGGCTGCCATTCAGTAGCACGATAGACCAATGTTGTATAAGCAAGGATGTTTCTCCATCTATCATATGAACATTCCTCATCAATGTAGGATTTTGACATATTGATACGTATCGATTTCCATATTAAAACAATATGTTAACCCAGAAATTAGTTCGTAACAGAATTTAGGGTGAAACCAACAAACACCCAACAAATGGTATACAATCAAAAATACAATAAATAAAGTTACTGCACAGAAATAACATTGTCAGTATGCAATAGAGTGTAGTACAAAATTTAATGGCAGTATTAAATATGATGGCAGTGGTGACATTAAAAAATTACTAAAAACAAATGCATAAAGAAAATATCATCTTTAGAGGAGAAAGGTCTTACCTCAGTAAGTCAGTCAGAATGTCAGCGCGTGTAATACATTTACATTAAGTACAAGATGATAAACGTGACGGGTATGACGGTAGAGATTTCCGAGTTGTCAATGAACCTGTGGCGGTTACATATTGATCATCAATTATCAATTATCGATCATTGAAAAATGTTTATAAAGATGCAAAGGTAAATCCATAGATTCCCGTAGGCTGTCGCTGTCAGTCTAGACACGGATCGAGTCGATACTACGATAGTCAAACACTCTGACGTTTTCTCAGTGTGTGCTTAGTGTTTGAGTTCAAGAATAAAGGGTCTAAATAATCAGCAACAACGCTTTTTCATGTATTCGTGTAAGGAAATTCCTAGGGGTTTCCCAGGAAAGTGTAAGTAGTCCGTCGGTGTTTATGTCATTTCAAGAATACGGTCTCCTGAAAAACGTAAGAATATCAAGTTGTGTCGTTATGAACGTCATGTGAGCGACCTCTTGTCCAAAGGAAAAGACGTATATAGTGTAAACTTTATTTTCTTTCCATGCAATGTCAACAGAAACAATGTAATACAGTTGCAATCAGTGTTTAACAACAAAATAAATACTACAAAATGTTTTGCTAATTAAAGTAACTAAAACAATTGATGTTTCAAATGTAAATTGTCAATGGAAGAGAAGAGAATAAGCTGTCTAAATAATCAGATCCCATTTGGCTAAAAGGGCAAAATAGCAGTGAATTTACAGATGAATGGACCACTGAAAATCAGTGATGACAGGAGAATACGTGTTCTTCTTGAATATGACGTCACTACAAGGGGATTCCCCGTCACGTCAGGTCAGCAGAAACATTCAGGTATTGAGTGTTCCAAACACTGATGTCCACGCACTACTGCTTACAATGTGGGTTGGTGTGGGTTGCTAATACATTAGTGTAGGTTGCTAATGCATAATTGTGGGTTGCTAATGCATCTGTTGGTTTCTGGTGCATTAGTGTGGGTTGCTCATGTATTAGTGTGGTTTGCTAATGTATAAGTGTGGGTTGATAATGTATAAGTGTTGGTTAATAATGTATTAGTGTGGGTTGAAATGTATTATTGTGGGTTGAAATGTATTAGTGTGGGTTGATAATGTATTAGTGTGGGTTGCTAATGTACAAGTGTTGGTTGCTAATGCATCAGTGTGGGTTGTAAAAGTATTAGTGTTAGTTGCTAATGTATCAGTGTGGGTGCCTGATGCTTTAGTGTGGGCTGCTAATGCATGAGTGTTGGTTGCTAATGTATTAGTGTATGTGCATCATGTTTTAGTGTGGGTTCCTAACGCATGAGTGTTAGTTGCTAATGTATTAGTGTGGGTGCCTGATGCTTTAGTGTGGGTTCCTAATGCATTAGTGTTGGTTGCTGAATTATTAGTGTGGGTTGCTGTTGTATAAGTGTTGGCTGTTGATGCATTAGTGTTGGTTACTGATGCATAAGTGTGGGTCGATTGTGCAATAGTGTTGGTGGTTAATGCATTAGAGTGAGTTCTTATGGTCCTTTGTCATTGGAAACACCGCTGTGAGCTCACCTGTCACGTGTTCTTTCATACATTCTTCAAGATCCCATGCTTAGATTGTTTCATCGTGCCCGACGACCTGGTTCTTTGCTGATGCCACCAAGCACTGTTTAGCCCAACACTTCTTCACGTTGTGCTTTTAGTAGCATATTGCTGACTGTGGCGTTAAACAGCATTCACTCGCTCGGATATAAAACATAAAAAATAATTATTTTTCCTCTTCTTCGTTCTCTTCACTGGCTCAAGACACGTGATATGATATGATTGACTACTGACGTATTTCTCTCATTATTATGTATGTTTTATACCTTCTGTATGCGACTTGAACAGGTCTCTTTATGGCATACAACGACTTCTACTACTACTACTACTACTGCTACTACTACTACTACTACTACTACTACTACTACTACCACTACTACTGCTACTGGGGCGGTCGGGTAGCCTAGTGGTTAAAGCGTTTGCTCGTCACGCCGAAGACCCGGGTTCGATTCCCGACATGAAGCCCATTTCTGGTGTCCCTGCTGTGATATTGCTGAAATATTGCTAAAAGCGGCGTAAAACTAAACTCACTCACTCATACTACTACTACTCGTATGCATATGAGACAACGGAATGTTAAAGTATATATAAGTAAGCTAATTTATGTAACCACAAGTACGCTACTGGATGAAACCAATGGTAAGCTACTTGATGTAATCAAAGGTAAGCTAATATATGTAACCAAAGGTGAGCTACGTGATGTAACCAAAGGTGGGTTACTTGAAGTTACCAAAGGTAAGCTTATTTATCTAACCAAAGGTGAGCTACTTGACGTAACCAAAGGTAAGCTAATTTATGTAACCAAAGGTGAGCTACGTGATGTAACCCAAAGTTGGGCCACTTGACGTAATCAACGGTAAGCTACTTGATGTTACCAAAGTTGAGATACTTGATGTTACCAAAGTTGAGATACTTGATGTTACCAAAGTTGAGATACTTGATGTAATGGTTCAAGAGACCCACGTGAAAACAAGGAACGTGGTGTCAGACATGTGCATCAAGTGGACCCATAATGTTCAGAAATGTTTGGGAGTTAGATTCCTCCACAGGCCAATTACCAGTCCCCGGACAATAGCTGGTACTGCTCTGCTCCTCCCCCTCATATCCTGTAACAGTACAATGATGACCTCTGGGGAAGACTCAGATGCGCCATTTGACCAGTCCCCGGACAATAGGTGGTACGTCTCTGCTCCTCCCCCTCATATCCTGTAACAGTACAATGGTGGCCTCTGGGGAAGACTCAGGCGCGTCATTTGACCAGTCCCCGGACAATAGGTGGTACTGCTCTGCTCCTCCCCCTCATATCCTGTAACAGTACAATGGTGGCCTCTGGGGAAGACTCAGGCGCGTCATTTGACCAGTCCCCGGACAATAGGTGGTACGTCTCTGCTCCTCCCCCTCATATCCTGTAACAGTACAATGGTGGCCTCTGGGGAGGACTAAGATGCGTCATTTGACCAGTCCCCGGACAATAGGTGGTACTGCTCTGCTCTGACTGTGGCATAAAAATAACGAACAACTAGTATACGTGCCAAACTTAAAAATGGCTTAAGTTAATCATTTACCTTTATCATTTTATCTTTTCAAGGGAACACATTTTGTGAAGTTTTATCAGCTCAAAGTAATGCGTGTGTCCATGAATCACATGATAAAGGATAAGAAAACAGCTGCACTATTTGTGAAGCCTCGGATGTTTCAGAAAAAGATCTAACAAATATTGTTGTCATACCAGAGAAGGTATGATAGACTTTGATTGATGTATCATACCTTATCTGCACTTATCCCATGTCTGATTTTTCGCAAGTATTAACATAGCCCACTCCAGCAAGTCCACCTTAGGAATCCTGAGTATTTGATGACATTTTATAGGCCATGTGTATATCTCATAAACGCTGATCTGACATCAACGGGCATACTAGTGCTGTACCTACAATATGTGACGTAGTATTAACGTGTGTGTTCAGACTCAAATTTCCGACCCAAGACATCTTCTTCTCAGCTGGTACATAATTCAATATTCTTGAAGTCACGTTGACCGCGGCATGGGTGACGTATGCCTGTTGGTGTTGGATGGACATAGCAATGTCCCACAAAATGTTTACATGACAAACACATGGCCTACTGATTACTTTGATACGTCAAATCTACCAGGAGTTTTCCTTTTGTACCCAGGTTTCCTGTTTTTTGCTTTGTGTATTAGAATATTCAATGTGTTAGTATCAATATATGCGATATCTATTGATTATTTGCGTATGCCACTTAGTACTGATAACACCCGTGAAGATCCGGGGTAGAATAGGTATTCAGCTACCCATGCTAGCTGTAAATGGCGACAATGCTTGTCGTAAGAGGCGAGTAACGGGATCGTGTGGTCAGGCTCGCTGACTTGGTTGATGCATGTCATCGTATCCCAATTGCCGTCATATAGCTGCAACATTGCCGAGTTCGGCGTTAAACAACAAACAAACAATACTGATGATTATCTAGCGTCGCCTCCAAATTGTCTGACCATCCTTCATGTCCTTATCTCGCATTGTATGAAACATTATGACTAATATTAGAACGATGCACATTTTGATAAATGATGAACTCTATCTAACCCCGCATCTCTAAAACGGATCATTACTTTATCAGCGAAAGTTTTCTTC